AATCTTAGCTTCTCTGGGCCTTAACTTTCTGATTTGCAAAATGAGGGTTTGTAATTTATGACTGTTAATAATGGCTCTTCTAATTCTAAATCTATGTTCTTTTCACCATGTTTCTTTCTTTAATGTTCTGTAATTCTGCTTCCACTTTGTCTTGAAACCACAGCTACTGCTCCTGATTTTTTTTGGGGGGAGAGGAGTCAACAAAGGTATATCGAGCCTCTCATTTACAATCTGTAGGGGTTCCAATAATTTAGGTTTATTTACCAGAGGCAATATATTTTTCAATCTTTTTTTAAAACAGCATTCTGAGGAACTTTTTGTTTGTTTTAACAATAAATTCATTTGTATCAATAATATCTTCTAGTTGTATTATTCTGTGATTCTGTTTTGTTAATTATCTGACCATCTCTGCCATTTTTTCTTTAATCAGGACCATTCTATTCTCCATATTGCTTTGTTAAAAATCTCCAAAGAATTTTCCAGACAGTTGTCTCTTACTTGCATCTTTTCTCTTCCTTTACTGGTTTGAATTTCATCTTCCTCAGATGCCAAATCCTCCTTTCTCTTGCTGAACTTATTAGTCCCTCTGGAGAGACTTGTAATAGATCTGTTTTACCTTTGGAAATTTTTTTCCCCTTCTAATGTCTTCTCTTTAAGTTTTCTTGTTTGTTTGTTTTTGCTTTTCGGTGAGACAATTGGGGTTAATCTACTTGCCTAGGGTCACACAGCTAATAAGTGTCAAGTTTCTGAGGCTGCATTTGAACTCAGGTCCTCCTGACTCCAAGGCTGGAGCTCTATTCACTGAGCCACCTAGCTGCCCCTTAAGTTTTCTTTAACACCCTAATATTTATTCAATGGTTGGAGTCTCTTTCTTTTGTGCTTACTCATTTCTTCAATCTTTTTCTTTTTTTAGTGAGGTAATTTTCCTTATTAGGGCTTTAGTTTATTTGTCTATTCCTTCTACTTGGATGCATCTGTTATTTGAAGTGATGGAGTAGAGCTTGGTTAGAGCACAAACATTCACTCATCCATCATGCCCATCCTTTTATTGGGTATTACTTACATATGTGCCACAATCTCATACTAAACCAGTGATAACAAACTCAATTAGAAACAGATTCCTGGGCAGAGCTAAGACGGCAGAGTAAAGGCTGGGCCTCACCTGAGCTGTCTCCCAAACCCCAACAAGTACCTTTAAAAATGCCTCTAGGGGCAGCTAGATGGCGCAATGGATAGAGCACCAGCCCTGGATTCAGAAGGATCTGAGTTCAAATGAGGCCTCAGACACTTACTAGCTGTGTGACCTTGGGCAAGACACTTAACCCCAATTGCCTAAAAAAAAAATGCCTCTAAACAAATTCTAAAGCAGCAGAAACCACAGAAAGATGGAGTGAAACAAATTTCCAGCCAAGACAACTAAGAAGGCTGGCAGGAAAGTCTCTTGCACCAGGGTGAGATACGAGCACAATCTAGTGCATGCCACAGTAAACCAGGCCCCAGCAAACCTGGAGCAGGCCTTGGGGCAACTGAATCACTGGCAGCAGCGGCAGCTTCCAGAACTCGCAACCCACAGACACCAAAGAGAACTTGAAAGGTCAGCAGGAAAAGTCTATCACAGCTGGGTAAGAGTGGAGCTCAGTCCAGCACAGGCCACGCCAGCCCTGGGCCCCAGCAAACCTGGAGCAGGTCTTGGGAGTGACTGAATCAGCAGCTGCTGCTTCCAGATGAAAGGGAGAATAATATGTTCATCTTCTGAGAAGAGTATCACCATTTACTGCAAATAAAGGCTAAATAAAAGCTTTCAATTTACTTATTTATGATGTGCACTTTACTATCCTCATGTCATATTAAACAATGATAAGGCAGGGGTAAGTTGAAAATGTTCCTACAATACCAGACAAAAAGCTTCACTGTAACCCTTTTCAAGATTCGTGAGCAAATCATAGAAGGTTCATTTGGCACTTAGTCTAAGAATTTGGAAGTTAGTAAAAACCTTAGAGGTCATCAAGTCAAACTTATTGTTGGCTGAAAAACTCCTAAGTGCAGTCTGCACCAGATTAAAATATAATTGGGAAATTATTAGCAAAATAAATAAAAATGCAATACAATGTAAAGTAACATGAATCTGTGGTTTTCTTAGTCACCATGGGGCCTCCAAGGATCCATTTCTCTTTGAGTCTGACAGCACTGACCTAGTGCAACCTCCTATATTTTACAAGAATTGTCATTTACACACCTCACAAGTATTCAATCACAGAACAGAAGATACTTAAGAGTGATGGAAAGATCAGTTTCTGACAAGGGAACCCATTATGTTTTTTGGATACCTTATTCCTAACAAAGTATTTTCATATTTTAAACCGAAGTCCGCCACCTTGCAACTCTCAAGCATACTGGTCCTAGAATAGCTTATTGTTGATGTTTAGTCATTTCAGTTGTATCCAACTCTTTATGATCCTTTTTTGGGGTTTTTCCTGCAAAGATACTACAGTATTTCCTTCCCTAGGTCATTTTTGCAGATGAGGAAACTGAGGCAAACAGAGTTAAGTGACTTGCCCAGCATCAGACAGTAAGGGTCTGAGGCCACACTTGAATTCAGGTCTTCCTGACTCCAGGCCTGGCCATCTAGCTGCCCAGAATAACATAATGGTTATCTAGAATACCAGAACACCAGTCTGTTCCTTTTTCTAGATAACATTCTTCTAGCCAGGAAGACAATAATCATGTCTCTTTTTGTCTTCTCATCTCCAGACCAAACACTCTCTAACTCTGGATGAGGGCACCTATCAAATCAAATATAATAGTTATCGAATTTTTCTGCTGAAAAATTCTAAAAATTATTCTAAGAATGATTAATGTTACCAAAAGTAACTATTTCCAAGTATAACTAAGGACTACATGGCTAACCCAGGCCCCAAACCTTAGATTCATCTTTGATAAGCCAGTTAATAGCAAAGTTTTATTAATATTTCCCATTAATTCCTTAAAGTTTTCAAATCAAATCAAAACAATATTCATCGAATGCTCATTATGTAGCAGCCACTGAGGCAGTCCCTTCCTTTCCATTCCCTCAGCTCTAGTCTAAACCCTCAAAAGCCACCTTGCCAAAACTATGGTAATAGCTTCTCAACTGGTCTCCCAAGCCCACATCAATCTGTCTAACACACTGAAACTAGCAGAAAAAATCTTCAGTTCAATTTTAAGTGCCTACTACTCTGTCCATAGCATTATAGTAGGCATTGGGGAAGATACAAAGTTTAGATAAGATTCGGTATGTGTTCTCCTATAGCTTAAATTATAACCATCAAACTCTGAATGCATACTGCAGCGTAACTTTTTCACTTTACTTTTCTTGCCCTTTTTTTTGGCAACGTGGCTCATATGTAAATCTTTTTCATGACTTCACACGTAAATGGGTATTACATTGCTAGCCTTCTCAATGGGTGGGGAGGGGCTAGAGGAAAGGAGAGAATTTGGAACTCAAAATAAAAACACAAATGTTAAAAAAATAAAAACAAAAAAAAAATTGTCACTACCACCACTATCATTGAGTAACTCACATTTACATAATCCTAGTGAGGTCTGCTTAATGTTTATATCTATATATCTATATCTAGATATCTAGATGGATAGATAGATATAAATAAAATCTTGTTTGATCATGGATTTGCCTTGTTTACAAAGTCTTCAATGGCTCCCTAGCAAAAGGCAGCTTAGATTCCTTTAAAGGACATTCCAAGGTGCTACACAATTTGGCCCCAACCTACCAATACAACCTTATCTCTTGCTATTACTAACACAAATTTGCTTATCTCTAACACAAACCAGTCTAGTCAGGTCTATCTCAAGATTTTCCAAGTACAGAACACTTTCTGGGCATTTCCCCCACCACTCACTCACTACCTTTGGTTGTGGCTGTTCTTTCCACAAAAAATCAAATCAACACAATTAACTATGTTCTCAGCCCTATTGAGGGGGACGGTGGTGCGAGATGTAATGTAAGAAATGTAATGAATGGTTCCTACTCTAGATAAGCTTGCAATCTACTGGAGACACAAGACACAAATAACAGCTAACAATGTAAGCGCACATTAAGGACTAAGTTGTATTCTGCAGACTGAGCTGCTGCAGGAGTTTAAAAGAGGGAAATAACAGGCCCAGAAGGCCTCAAGGAGGAGGACAACTTGAGCTGGGCTTTGAAGGATGAGCAAAGAGGTGGGTGTATTCCAAGTGAGAGGAACAAGATGAATATTTTCAACACTGCTGCCCCTTCAAACATTACCTGACCTTTAGGACTTCTCCTGAGTCTGGCCTTTTTCACAAAGCCTGCCTCCCAGCTACTCCAGCTTCATGGTTCACTCCCTTTTCTCTGAACTCCTACTGCACTTTACTCTCTGTACCACTCCTTCTGGCACTCAAACACATACTCCTTATTTTACCTTTTAACTGTTTCATGAGTTGGCCTTATCTCTCCCAGAAGACTATTAGCTTCCTCTAGGACAGTGGTGGCAAACATGGTTCACCTGAGTGCAGCCTGAAACAGATGAAAATGCAATTGGGAGGCCTCATTTCTATTTGAGTTTGACACCACTGCTCTAGAACAAGGAAGTTTCAGTCAGTCTTATTTGAGTCATGTCTAATTCCTCGTGACCTCATTTGGGATTTTCTTGACAAAGGTATGGCAATATTTTGCCTTCTCTTTTTTTCATTCCCTTCTCTTATTTGAAAGATAAGGAAACTGGGGCAAACAGGGTCACACAACTAGTAAGTGTCTGAGGCCAGATTTGAACTCGGGACCAGCATACTATCAAGCACACCATCTCCATTTACTCATTTTGCTACCAACACATGGTTGAGCATAATATCATATTGTGTATTAGCATAATATCATAGATCCAGAGAGCATTCAATAATACCTACTTGTTGAATTATCACAGGTGATGTCAGATCTCAAACCAAACATAAAAATGGAATTATTCTGATTTTGTTTCTTATCTTACCTGACATCTCCTTTGGAAAGATTAGTATTTGCAGGGTAAAGAATAACTTTATTTGCATCTACATCCACCACACATTTGGTATGCAGGTCAAATTCTGTAGAGGAAAAAAAATAGAAAAAACATGTTTATTTTAAGCAATTATTGTTATTAAGTCATTTTTCAGTTGTATCAGACTCTTCATGACCCCATTTGGGTTTTCTTGGCAAAGATACTGAACTGGTTTGCCATACCTTCTCCAGTTCATTTTACAGATGAGAAAACTGAGGTAAACGGGGTTAAGTGACTTGCCCAGGGTTACACAACTAGTAAGCAGCTGAGGCCAGATTTGAAATCAGGAAGACAAGTCTTCCTGACTTCAGGCCCAGTGTTCTCATACTAAATAGCTTTAACAACTCTAAGTTCCTACAAATGTTTCTTGAAAAATCTGTTATCTACATCAAATCCATCATATCGAAAAACAAATCCAGAACTGAAGAGAAATCTCTTAAATGGAAGAAAATGAAACCATCCTTAAAACCATCCTACAGAGGATGACTAACAGGGTATGTCTTAATTTGCATGGGCATTAGTACTATTGTATTAAGATTTAGAGAGTTAATTTTTATCTTTCTTTCTTAGTAATACCCTATTAATAGGGTCTTTTTTTTTTAAATAGTGCCTTTTGTTTTTACTTCACATTAATTTCTCATATATCCCAAGTCTCACCATCCAGAACACATAGATTTTTTTCTAACTCATTTGATGTATATATAGCCATTCCTTTCCTCCTGCCAAAGGCAATCCCTAGACATGCACCTTTGATCCCATACCCTGTCTTCGCCAGCATTTCACCCAGTCTCTCCCTCTCTCTCTCCCTATAATCTTCAGTCTTTCAATAGCTACTAGTTCCTTTTTGCCACCTACAAATGCACCAAAGTCTTCTCATTCTTAAAAAAAAAAAAAAACCTTCATCATATATTACCATGCCTGCATTCAATTAACAGCTTTCCTTCTCTTCTCACCTAAAATTCTCACCTAAAATTTTATCCTCAAAAAAGATGTCTACATTTGGGTATCCCCACTTCATCTCCATTCTTTTCTAAACTCTCTGCAGTTTGGTATTCAACCCTATCACCCAAATGAAAATGAGCTCTCAAAAGATAACAATGTTCTCTCAATTACCATATCTAAGGGATTGTCCCCCAGTTCTCATCCTTCTCAGTCTCTCTACAGTATCTGAAACTACTGAACACCCTCTCTCACTTCCTGAATGAATACTCTCTATTCCATGGGTTTTTATGACACTACTCTACTCTCTCAGTTCATCTCCTGTATGCCTGACCTCTCTTAAATATCCTTTGCTGGATTTTTATCCACATCATATCCACTAATTGTGGTTTATCTCTAAGGCCCTCCTCTGGGTTCTTCTTTTCTCATACTATCTCATTTAGTGATCTGTTAAACTCATTGTGTTTAAGATGTCTACTGGACATCCAGTTTAAGATGTTTGAAAGGCATCCAGAGATATGGGACTACATATCAGCAGACAGTTTAGGTCAGAATAAGCAAAGTTGAAAATCAACAGCACAGAGATGATTTAAATCCACAGGAGCTGAAAAGATCATCAAGCAATGTAGTAGTAAATGGAGAGACGAGTAACTAGGATAGGACACGTGGTTAGAGGGCGTAACCTGGATGAGGTTCCAGCAAGGAAGATTGAGGAGTGGTCAACTGGGTAGTAGGAGAACCAGGAGAAAGTAATATCCTAAAAACTTAGGAACAAGAGAGTATCAAAAAGAGGATGAGCAACAGTGTCATAGATTGCAGAGAGGTGAGAAAAATGAGGATTGAGAAAAAGCCATTGGATCTGGCAATTAAAAGATCACTGGGAAAAAAAAAAGATCACTGGTAACCTTGGAGAAGGGCAGCTAGATGGCACAGTGGACAGAGTGCCAGGACTGAAGTCAGGAAGACTCACTGTTCCTGAGTTCAAATCTGCCCTCTGATACTGGAGTCACAAAGAGACAGACATGACCAAAATGACTAAACAAAAAACTTTGGAAAGGGCAGTTTTGGTGGAATGAGGTGAGAAGCTGGACTGTAAGGAGTTAAGAAGAGTCATCTGTTACAGACAACCTTCCCAAGGAGGTTAGCCACAAAGGGTAGAAGAGATATAGGATCATAGTGGGCATGGAAGAATCAAATGAGGATTTTTTTAAGGATGAGAGAGCCATGAACTTGTTTGTAAGCAGCAAGGGACAAGCCAGCAGACAGAGAGAGATTGAAGATAAGTGATTGAGTCACAGCAAGTAATCCAGAAAACCCAGAGCTGAGTGTAATTACATTAGTGACTATGGATTACTCATTGGGATTCAAACCACATGCTAAATATCCAGGAACTCACTTACTTGAAAAGGATAAATCTGAGCTGAGGAGCTTGTGTGTGTACTGAAGTACTGTGTATCTTGATTTATATAAAGAGATACACTCCTGAGAGATTGTGAATAAATCAAATTTTGGTGAACTAAAACTTGTATTCCTGTATTATACACTAGTACTTTTTGAAAGAAACCCTAGTTCAGCCCCTCACTCACAGTCCCTAATGGATCTCCCAGCATCTAGCCTCAATCCTTCCCAATCCATTTTCTACACAGCTGCCAAACTGACCCTATTAAGCACATATCTGACTATGTCACTTCTCTGTCAGAAAGCCTTGTTATTCCCTCCAGAAGAATATATGACTTCTCAGTTTGGGCATTTAAAGCCCTTCACGATCTAGTTCCAAATTGTCTTTCCAGGCTGATTACACAGTACTCCCCTAATGCATTATAAATTCTAGTTACTTGCTACTTGTTCCTTGCATACAACATTCTATGTCCATTCACCATTCTCTTCCTAATGCTCTCCTCACCTTCACTGCTTGGAGCTACTCACTCATTTTGAGACTCAGCTCAAAAGCCATCTTCTACAAATCCTTCTTGATTTCTCCCAATTATTAGTACCCATTACTCAGAAACTACTTTGCATTTATTTTGTATATATTTGGAATTTATTTATCAGCGTATATACTGTATCCCTCTGCTTCTCCCTTTCAGAGCCTTATTTTTGTCACTGAATCTCCACCCCAGCACAGTAGCTAAATCATAGTAAGCACATAATAAATACTTGTTGAACTGAACTGAACCCTCATAAAAATCCTTTTATAATTTAAATAATTATCTAATAATTTACTTCCTAAATTTCAGAACTATATAATAAAGGCAGTCTTTGAAACACCTGATACGCAGCTTAAAAACATCCCTTACACACAAAATGTCACTACAGGAACCCCCTCTCATCACCACTATTCAATCATGAGAAAGATTCCCATCCTAAGTCCAAATGATGGACTGTGGGTGAGGGGCTAAACTAGGGTTCCTTTCAAAAAGCATTACTGTGTAATAAGTCAATGGGAAATAGCCTAATAGAAGAGGTATTAATTTTTCACTTACTTGAATTAAATCAGAAGAGAGTGCAAAAGGGCAGGGAATAATCTCTCCAGGTTTGGCCAGCTGGGAATGGAGATGGCATTAAAGACTGCCCTCCATTGCTAGGGTGCTATGGAGAAGAACAGGGCTCCCCTGGTAAGTGAGGAAAAGTCAAAAAGAATGCTTTTACAGAGGCTGGGGGAGATGTGTTCTTAGCTTCTCCAAAGTCACAGTTGGAACTTGGAATGTCTTCCAATAAAAACAAGAAGAGAAAAAAGTACTAAATAGTTAGCTACATCATTGGTTAAACAGTCTTCTGTGAACAGATCTGGGAACCTAACTACCATTTATAACACTGTTTCTTTGGAAAGATATGATTCAAGTTCCAGAGAACCACCTCACAAATGTACTTTTGGAACACAGTCACATAAATTGGGAACTAATTGAATGAATGAAGAGTGCACAGCTGAGCACTCCTCAGGATCAAATCATTTTTTGGATTAGCTATTATTGTTAGATTATGTTTGTATCTTCTATGTTATCTCAGGTCACAAAGTCAAACAAACCTGTTAATCCTTTTTTGTTTAGGGATGTTAAAAAAAAAAAACTGAAAGTTTCCTATCTAGGACTTCTTAGTGTGTGGATAGAACAGATGACATCAGTGAAGCATGTCCAAGCAAAAAACAACAGAATGAGATCACAGATTTTTAACTTGACAGGACCTTAGAGAACATCTAAAATCCGATCACCTTCTTTTACAAATGAGGAAACTAAGGCTAAAAGAGGTTAAGTTACTTGGCTCAAGTCAAACCGGTGGTAAATAGCAGAGCTGGGATTCAAACATGTGTCCTCTCACTCCAGCGTTTCATGGTACTATGGTACTATGGTGCCTGCAAAAGGTTGCTGGATTTGGCATCAGAGAACCTGCGTTCAACCCTTGGTGGATGCTGCTTCCTGCTGCCCTATCAGCTAACCTAGCCAGCCTACACTTGCCTCAACTGTAAAGTGAGGGAAATTAGTCTAAATGTCATCTATGGTCCTTCCTGCTTTAAATCTATGATTCCATGAACAAGTTTGGAATATTCTGTTCAGTTCTAAGCAATGCATTTTCAGAATGTGTTTATGTACATGTCTCCCCCAAGAGAATACAAGCTCCTTGAGCAGACTGTTTCATTTTTGTCTTTGTGTTTCTAACACAGTACCTAGCACATAATAGGGACTTAATAAATACTCAATGACCCACTGGGGAAGGATATTGACAAGCTGAAACAGATCGGTGATAACTAATAGGAATGGTGAAGGGATTGGAGAGCAGACTGGAAAATTGAGCCTAGAAAAAGAAAAGCTGGGGGTGGAGAGAGAACATTACTTCTTTAAGTATCGGAGGGATTGTCACATGGAAAAAGTATTAGATTTGTTCTGCTAGGTCCCAGAAAGCAGAAGTAGGAACAATAGGTGGAAATTGCAGGAAGGCAGATTAGCTCTGTGAAGAAAAGCTTCCTACCAATTAAAGCTATCCAAAAGTAGGATGGCCTGCCACAGGAGGTAGTAGGTTCGCTAAACGTCTTCTAGTAAAGGTTACCTGTTCCAACTGCAAATGCTATATGCCCAATTGTCAGAGATGTTCCAGATATGTATTAAACCAGAT